ACATGATACTGTATGCAATATCGTGCTTTCTTCACTAACTGCCCAATTATTGCAAAATTGTGCGCTTATCAGCCCCACTATATATGCTAACATATAATATTCATGCAAATATTTTTATTGCATGCATACCTATTTATCTATTTTCCCACAGGAAACGGAATCCATCTTTCTGATTCAAACTATGACGGGCATCCTAACTTAGACGTACTTATTCAGCAACTGAGAAGTCAGGTAAATGGTTGTTTATTCCTATTTATACATGCGGCTGTCAACAAAATTGAATTGAACTGCATGAATTGGAACCTTTATTTCTACAAGGTAGCCCAATCAGTAGTAAGAACTACTGCTATCAACTGGAATCCCGCGAAACTATACTACATGCATGTAATTTACAATATTAAGATAAGTTTGCAATAATAAAATACAACACAGTACTATAAACTATATTGCATTCGAAATGGCTATAAAAATGTAATATACAGGGTTGGTAACTTGCTGAATAAATAAGCCAAACATTGTTATAAGCGGCCCTTTCATGTCTTTGTTTCGAACAAAGGAAACAAAGGTTATGATAATAATATTTGGCTTATTTATTCAGCAAGTTACCAACCCTGCATGTAATATATAGAACAAAATTAAAGATGTTTATAAACTACACAGCCATTATATAATAGAATGACTTTTTAGCTTGTTCAATAACTTGTCACTCGACTATGTACTTCACTATTATTTTTTTTTAATTGAGGACAACGTCCTCAACCATACATGTGTGAAAGAATCTTTACGTGAAGCCTGGATTTGTAGCTGTTTATTGTGCTTGAAACCACTGCCAATTTTGAACTTTTTGTCTTCCAGGCATAAAATTTTACTTTATACTTGCTTGTATCTTACGAGCTACTGTACAACTTTCAAACGTTGTCAAGTGCAAAAAGTGCATGATATAAAATCCAATCATATTCATTTTTCGCTGCAGCCTTTGAATTACTGGCATGCTGATAATGAACAGTCCCTACGTGTCTTGTTATGAAATGAAATAAAATGTATTTCTTGAATTTGCAAACAGATATTTAGAACATTCTTATAAGCTTCAGTGTATTATGCACTTCAGTATTCTTAGCAACACTGCCTAATTGGGATGGGTTTCGTAAATTTTCTTCTATATTATAGCATCGTGTCTTAATTAATTTGGTTTCAGTCCCCATGGGCCATAACCTATACGCAAACTAGTCCCAAGTCCTCTAGAAACGCGCAATAGGCGTACTAAGAGGCCTAGGGACTAGGATGACCTATACGGTATATTCCAACCTCATTGTTGTAATAGACTAAAATAAAACCGTGGTTTTCAATATTGGTAACAATATTTTACAGATATTTTCCACTACAAGACATCACCTTACCCATCATCAGCTTACAGAAAAAAACTGGTATGTCATGCATGCATATAAAATTTATGTTAAAATACTTTTTAAATACCCTCTATATTCACGAGATATTTCCGTAGCAATTTACCGCATGTGAATAGACCTTTCCCCTTTTGAGTGAAATTTTGATCTAGACAAGTCTGGACATCACAGCTTGAAAGAGCATCACAAAATTAGTAATATTCCGAAGTTTCGTTGCGAAATGTTGTAAAATGCGGATAATATATAGCCTTGCGCAGTTTGCCGTTTTTCAGTCATTTTGTATTACAAATGAGAAATTGATAATCAGTTTGATCATCTGATTATCAATTTCCCGTGTGTGATGCAAAATGACTGAAAAACGGCAAACTTCGCAAGGCTATATTATCCGCATTTTACAACATTTCGCAACGAAACTTCGGAATATTACTAATTTTGTGATGCTCTTTCAAGCTGTGATGAAATTTTTGTCCAGGCATATCTAGATTTCAAAATTTCAAAATTTCACTCATAAGGGGAAAGGTCAATTGGACGAGGTAACCGCTCGCCGGAGACCAAGAATCTTCAATTGTTCCCTCTGTGTTAGAATTACACTTTACAAGGCAAAATTCTGACAATATTTATTTTTGTTTACAAGGTTCCACTTCGCAGCACGTTCTTGGGAAATGACAAAAAAGTCAGCATTGTTGTCTGAGTATAACCGCTTACTACCTTAACATTGAACGTTTGTTTGGGGTAAGTGTATAGGAGACATTCACAAATATTGTTAAATTGCTATAGCGTATAGGTCTTGTATGGTCCTTAAATGCCTTCAAGTTGGTAGTTGGATTTAAAATTAATTGGTAATGCATTATGTATTCATTATAAATAGACAAAACTATTCGTGTTATTAACTGCCATATTGAATTTAAGCGCACTGGAGCACATTACATGGAGTCATTCGACTTAAGATTTTTTATGGTTGTTTCAAAAAAAATTTTATTTAATTTCCCACACAGCTGAAATACTACATCAGGTTTTAGGTGTCTACAATGAATAATAAGTAAACGCGTTGAAGTCTCTAGTCAGCTTCGTAAACGGTCGTTGCCACCACACCGTTATTTCAGGTAGTTAATTTATCCCATGGCCAGTGGAGTTATTTTCAACCAAATTTGTAAACTTCACTTTTAGAGTTAATAACTCTACTAGAAGTTAAAACATCTTCTTAAAGTTGTGTTCAATCAACTCCGAAGATGGTTAATCTTATGATTTGAAAGTACGACAAAAAGTTACAATTCACGTGGTTATTAGTTATCATTGAATAAAATCTAAAAATGCTGTCAGTGATGGAATTATTTTAAACGAACAAAAGAATATTGAGACGGATCTTATGACACGGATCACATTTCACCCTATCTTTTCAAAGGCTTTCCAGGGCTCTTCAAAAATATATTATGCAGTGTGGTGTCACACTTCTGATATTGGCATATCAAACAAAGTTTGAATATCTCGGGAAGGAAGCGAGGTACAACTATTCTACCAAAGAGGTTGTATGGTCCTTTTAAATGATCTTTGCAATGCAATCAGGAAAAGTTTGGGTGAAATTTCGTGTCATAAGCACTCTAATATAGATTGTGGATTTTGTTTGGGATGTACGTAGAACCTCTCCATTACGTATTTCTTTCTAATTGTGTATAGGTGCAAAGATCTGAACACTATGTCATTGCAGATCTTCTAATCCTCAAGGTGCATTACGAATGAAGATTCATATACACATCCTCCTCGCAGAAGCTGCAGACGCTGTCTGCTAGTATCCACATAGAAAACGAGAGTCTTGAAGCAAGTCTTGAATGTAAACAGGGACATAGCGAGCAGGGGCTGTGGGCGTGTAACCCCTTGTTAAATTAGTTGGAAGAACCTGATCTATTGAAACCAGCCTCAAAGTAACTGAATTTTCTTTGTAAAATACAGTCGATTTTGGGAACACTCGTTTGCAGAAGTGGAAAAAGTATCAGAGCCTGGGAACCTAATTCCCAAAATTTTAGGGGGAGGTCTACATTTTTGCAGAAATGTTGAGATATTTGTTATGCTTGATAGCCTGAATACTGAAAATTACACTGATTGAGTGATCATTATTGAAATTATTGAATACCTCTAATAAATAAATAATAAATATTGAAATTATTGAATAATCTACTAACTCAATACCTAAATTACAGCGGAACAGTTCGGAACGGAAATATTCATGTAGCCTGCAGTAGGAAATTTGTTTTTTATCCTGCAAGACTTAACTAACTACTACTGTACTTCAAAATTTATGACCCATTCAAGGCTTGTTTAGTCACAGCAAAAAGTGCAAGACAGTATAAACTGGCCTTTATATAGACATATTGCTTCACACCACAACCCAAATTATATCCTTTTTTTCATTGTTTGTTTTCTTTCAAATTACCAAATACTGTAAGTCATACAGTATTTATAAGGTTTTACATGTTTGAGAATTTCACTTCACTAAAAATAAGTTACCGAATATTTACATCTCAAATCCTGCATTATTAATAAGATATAATAATTAATAATTGAAAGTTTTGTGTGGGAACACATTATCTTAGAGAAAACAATTGCATTCATTAAAATTTGGTCTATTTTGTATCAGTTATTCTGGCTGAATTGAAATGTCAACCCCAGCTTTGCTTGCTGCAGGACTTGGCGTGCGTTCAGCTGTTCTGGGTGGCGGTGAAGGTGTAGGGAGTTTGTTAGCTTCTAGTGCCTCAGTTTTCTTTATATCTTCAATGTGCTTCAAAATTCCCATGTCTTTTTCATCAAATGGCTGAGGAATCGGTGATAATGGTTTCTCCACATTTTTCTTGCTTGCACTTGGTGGTGGTGGTGTATGTACTGTCAAGATCTCGGCACCACCATCGTATTTTAATTTCCCACCTGGTAGTTGAGGTTTAGTTTTGTTGTTGCGGGAATCCCATGTACCAACAAATCCACCCCATGGACATTTCTGTGAACGTTGCACACCATCCATCAGATGTCCTCTGTTATCAGCAATGGGTTTTGTATAACCTTCAAGACGGGATGGTCTCTGTTAGTAGAACAAAAATTTAAGCATGAGTTATCAATTGTTGCATTTAGTTGTTCTTCAACTTTTAATATTTGTTAGTCCATGTAAAATACTCTGCAGTAAATGACAATTGAAATTACATTACAAAACATAGTCTGCGTTTTAGTCAACTACGCCATTGCGATAACTAAGTACAACAGATGGAGTGGAACACAGGCTATATTTAACAAATAGATAAGATTTTGCCATTGGCTGTTCAGTTATAGATACACAGTATGACGTCACAATGTGGGAAGAACAAAAAAGATGCTCATGAGCTGCCAAGGCGAGTGGGTCACTTTTTGTTGTTCCCACATTATGGCAAAATCTTGTCTATTTGTTTGATATTAGGGACCAGTCATTATTTATGGTGGGGGGTGGCACCGAAGAGAAAAGGGTTGGGTAATCAAAATTTTGAGTAAGTAAAAGGTTGGGTAAATGAAAAACAAAACAACTCAAGGGTTGGGTAATAAAAATTTATTGTCATTTCCAAAGCATGACCCACTGAAATATTGGAGACTGAAAAGCAATGTCAACAGTCATTTGTCAATACAATATGTGAATCAATCAGAGTCACTATCTTGGTCATTTTGACAAAACAAATGGTGTTTCCAAAGAAAGTGCATGTGCAGACAACATGAAACTTTAGACTGCAGAAAATTTCACAAGTTGTTATCAAACTCATGTCATAGAAGTGGTAAAAGACATGTGTGACAACTGAATGGTATCCTTTTGTAAAGTTTTTGGCCAGGGATGGGTAATTATTTTTCAATTTATATTTGAGGTTGGGTAATCAATTTTTTGTCTTCTTAATGGTTGGATCAACAAAATTTTTGCCACGAAAAACATTTCTCTTGGGTGCCACCCTCCACCATAAATAATGACCGGTCCCTTATAAAAAGAAAACCCCCGAATTAAACAGGTAAATAGCGAAATTTTGCAAATATCATGTGTCCGGCGTACATGATCTATACAAATAAGACTATAAGAGAATGCTATTGGATAAGGTTTTGTGTGACGTAATTCTGTGCGTCTGTCCTCTAATAGATTGATATTGGCTCTCAACGAATGAAAGCGCTTAAATTTTTAACATATAAAAGACACTGTCACAGAATAAGGTGACACTGTTATTCAAGCTAGAATGCATAATTGGCAATGGACCCTAATGTGGGGCCTTTGTTCCGGCCCAACCAACTTGGCCCACTGCTAACTAAAGTTAAATCGGCCCAGTATTTATATCCTATATATATACAAGGACAAGGTAAGCTTATTTAAATTGTATGTGGCATATTATGAAGGACTCGGCCTACTATGGTTATCGTTTAATTCCAAAGTGTAGTTTTATATTTGTTTTATGTTCCCAAATTGTGACATGTTCATAACAATAACAATTAAAAACCAGATAAAAACACTAAACGTCTTGAGACTTGAATGTCTATTTTGAAAAAACAAAACAGATGGGAAAGGGATTGGATGTCAATTGGGGCTTTTGTCCTGTTTTCATTCCCTGCCACAAACTGTAACTTATTACTACTGTCTGTAATGTTTTGTATGTAATCATGTGGTAAATCTATTAAACTAAAGGCAAACAAGAGCATTAGGGATGAGCCGATTACTGAAATTGCCGATTCAATTAATCGGTGGCCGATAATATACAAAATAATCGGACAAAGCCAACACATTTATCAGTTAGGTGTTAGTTGTTCAGGTGAACCTCAGATGCTTTTCTGTGTTAAAATTAAACTTGAGAAGCTAATGTAGCAAAGCACTCAGCTATAGTATCTCTGGCATTCATTTGTGTCTCTTCCTTACGCTAGCTGCTGGATTACAAATTGAAAAGTTTTCCACTTTTTCATGACATCTTTTGTCTCATTGTGCACACACAATGTTTTCCACTAAGAGGAAATCCAGCTTAAGCTACACACATAATCCACCTACATTGTCAAGGGGGTCACATCAATAAGTGTAAATTTTCTCACTTAACAATTCCATTTCCCATGAAGAGATAATATTTATGCAAGATTTTTTTATACGTATTTGTGTAGCAACTGCTGAGTGAAGTGATGCCGCTCTATAACGTGAAAAGATTTTTAAACATGTGCAAAAAAACACAATGAATACACAAATTTTCATTTATCTGCAATAAAAAGAAGAAACTGATCAATAATCAGCAAGTGGCCAATTATACAGAAATAATCGGCCGATTACCAATTATTAAAAATTGGCCGATTAATTGGCTCATCCCTAAAGAGCATGATTGGCTTTTGGGTCAACTTGGTCCTGATACTGGGCCGAGTTAACTTAGTGAGCCGAGTTGGTTGGGCTAATTTGGCAGGTGGGCCAAGTTGGCATGTCCACAGGCTGAGTTGAGTTGACTGGAGCCCTTCCAGCAGAAACATATAGTGATATTGCCCATATAGGCTGACTTGACTGGCCTCCATAATTTGAATTTCTGGCCAGTTACACTGTATACTCAGGTAATTAGTAAACCCTTTGAAGAATTTAATAACTGAAGACTTTGGAACTTATATATAGAGTTATTGGGGAATGGTTCTACTACATTAATTAATATATCACTACATGACGATTACCGAATTGAACTAGATCTATAAGACCATAACAAACACAGACATGTTTTTTACAAATGCATTTGTAGTTCAAATAAATAAACACACCTCTTTAAAAGTTGCTGGAACTTCCCAGTTCTGAAGTCGTTTCCCACCAAATGCATTTTCGTACTGAAAACAAAATAAACACAGAAATAAATTTTATAAGACGTACAATCTTACAAGAAAGGTTCCTTCTTCTGCCACATTGTATAATCTTTGCCATTGCTTTATGTGACACCAGTACAGTAAATCTTTACCTGATTCGCGCTAAAATTAGTTGCCATACTTTTATTTGTCAAAATTTCTCGTTTATTTGTACCAGTGTTGTGATTTTGATATTTCTCGATAATTTGTTACACATTCCTCGTCATGGCAACAGCAACGTATGAGGAATATAAGGGATTTTTATGGTTAATGAGGGATATTATCAGCAATTGAATCCACTGAACTATATATTGTTCACTGATTGAATCATCGCACAGGCGACAATCAGACAATCTCGTTCCCAGAGTATGCCTGTTCGCGGGTTAGGTGGTGGCACCATTGAACTATAAATAAACTGGAAGGCTAACTGCTATGATGAAGGCCTATGATTTGATGAAGCCAAAATAGTTTTTCTGAGTTATGAGCAGAAATACTTGACCCCAAACGTCCGGCTATATATCAAATTGAAGCTATTG